CTAGATCAAGTAACAAAGTCCTTCTTAAGCCTGACAAACAGATTTTCCTGCAGCAAAACAGGAGCCAAAATAAGGACTTGCCTATGCTCCCTCTTTCTTTTTCCCATTCACACTAAAAGGAAGGAATGAGAGGATGTAGTAACAGATCAGACATAGAGAATAAAGGAAAAGAAAGACTCAGAGGGTTTAAAATTGAAAGATTAGAGAAATGGTGGTAATAGTGAAAAAAGTAGGTAGCATTATCTTTACATCTCTCCATTCCCCAGTGCAAAATTGGTGTGAAATACTACCGAATGAATGACTCCCGAAAAGGAAGACAGGTTGGGACGATGAAGAGCAGTTCTCACATGCTGACTCCGAGGTGATGATATGAAAGTAGAAATGTGGGCCTGGAGCAAGCAAAGGCTAAAGATGCAAAGGATTTAATAGGCTAGAAATGATGGCAGAAACCATGAGAGGAGATGAACTCTCCTAGGTAAATGTTGAGACTTTAGAGCTGAGATCTCTTTGGTGTACAACAAGATTCAAAGTAAATGTAATCAAGTTAGGGCATCAATTCATTCCGAACATTAGCTGATCACTTCAAAAGGCTGCTAGCATTCATACTTTCTTTAAAAAGCCAATATTGGGGGGCAGCAAGGTGGCATAGTAGAGTTCTAGCCTTGAAGTCAGGAGGATCTGAGTTCAAATTTGGCCTCAGACACTCAAAAAAAAAAAGCCATACTGAGTGGTCCACGCCTCTAATTCCTTGCTACTAGGGAGTCACCCAGAGCTAGCAGACTGTTTGAACTTGGGAATTCTGTGCTGAAGTTTATCGGGAGTCCACACTAAGTCTGGCACCAGTATGGTAAGCCCCTGAGAACAGAGCAGATGATTACCAGGCTGCCCAAGGAGGAAGGAACCAGCCCAGGTAAGAAACAGAGCAGGTCAAAATTCCCATGTCAAACAGCAGTGAGATCAGCCCTGGAATGAGTGCTGTACTTCCAGCCTGGACAAGACAGAGAGATCCAGCCTCCAACAGACAGACAGAGAAATCAATGAGCAAGCAAGCAAATAAATAAGTAGCTCAGAAGAATACTGAGTCATTTTTTATGTAGTAATGTGTATACTCGACCTACTTGAAAAAACTACAAATGACTATTTTTCATGTAGTAAAGCAAAATACTTATACTGTATTCTCCCTAACTAGAGAATGGTTTGATTTCTTTAAAACACTGACTTATTTTAAACCCACTTTAGCTTTACTCTCACAATCAGTTCATTTTCTCTGCTGCTGGAAAGGTAAGATTATATACTTACTTATGTAATTTAAGATACAGCAATTAAACATAGAATAAAACTTACCAAGATATCTCCCAGTCAACCCATTCCATTAGCTTAACCTTGACAAAATTGGTCACTCTTAGGTGGCCTAGAGAATAGAACAATGCTGGGCTGCCTTGTACTTTTCCCCAAACAAGATCATTACATAATTTAAACAACTCTGGCTGAGTGAAAAATTAATAAAAACATAAAGATATAATTGCTGATTAATACCTTACATTAATTAATAATTATAAAGAACTTCATAAATTTATAGAATGTATCCTTAATAATGAAATCAAGACTAATGAATGGTACCAAATTCTTACATTTTTGCTTGCTTGAATATGCATTTGTCACTAGAAAATTGTAGGTCTTACTAATTATGAGTTTAGGATTAGAAAAAACAAATTAGTTTTATTAATTACTTGGCCACTTTAAGGTTAAAAAGTGAAACATTTAGGTCATGTCTTGGTAATTTAGTATTACAGCAATATATGATCTGCATATACTTATCAGTTACCAATTTTTTTTATTATAAAAAAGGAGAAAATATTTGATTATGGCCAGTGTTCTAATGATCACTTCTTTTATTTTGACTTTAACATCTATCCACATTGTCAAAAACATGAAATTTCTTTTAATCTTAAAATAGGAATACTTTGTTTACTTCTGTCCTCCACAGTTTCATCCTAGCTTGTAATGCACTGAACTTTCATTAGTTGGCTCATCATCTTAGGTTAGTATGCCAGGTCAAAACCCATGTAGTGGAAGGGTAAGAGAAAGGTTTGATTGGATTCCAGTTCTGTCTCATGGTGCCTTTTCTTGCTGTATGACTTGGGCAAGGCATTTAACCCCTTTCGAGACTTGTTTTTTTCATCTGTGAAAGGGAGAAAACGACACTTACACGTACCAGCTTCACAGGACTATTGTGAGGATCAAATGTGACTGAATATTTAGTGTTTTGTAACCATTAAGCAAGTATTCATATTATCGGTGCCTGGTATCTCCAATTCCTCGACATTGTTAAAAAAGAATATGCTCTCTTTCTCCCAGGTAAATCCTTCCATGGCTATAATGATGTGTAGAGACTTTTTTGTGTGTGTGTGACCCAAATGGACTGATTAAAGGGCGTGGTTGAAGACTAGTTATAAATCCATGCTAAGAACTACAGCCACATGAAGTAGCCACGGTGTTAAGTAAACAACAAGTATATACCACACTCCACCAAAACTAACACTAGAGTAACTAGTAGTCCTGAATCTTAACATACTGATGCACTTTCCCAAACCATAAAGGCAGATTAAGTGTCATGGTCTTTTTCTTATTCTCTGCTTCCAATGTGATCATTTCATTAACTGCCTGAGTTAAAATTATTATACTCATTCTTTTCCCCATTAATATTTGCTAAATTGTAGGCTAATGCTTAAATATGCAAAATTATCACTAAAGCATTTTTAAACATTTCTAACAGTGAAATGAGAAATCAGTAATTGAGTAGAAAAAATAGTCAACATCACAATAGATAACCATGCCAAAATTACTCAAAGGTTAAGTTGTTTACAGCAAAAATTAAACATGCATACTTATAATAGGTAGTTTATACCTTTAATCTCTTATTTAACACAGAAATGAGAGCCACATTAAATCCTATAAAAGGAGGTATGCTAGGAAAATTAAACTGTCTACCTTACTAATACTTTAGATTCAAGCGTTCAAATTTAATCTGAAGTAAGTCTGAAAAGTGACTTACAAATTGGCTTAGTGATGCACAGCATTCCTGGGACATTTAAAATGTCAACTATACCAAAAATTTCTAAGACTTATTTTGATTCTAAAATGTTATTAATTCTGCTTTGGGAAAAAGCAATTTACTAGTCCAAAAAGTGATAAGTATAGCCTTTCATCCCTTCACAATAGATCTGTGTTCCCAATATTTTCCTATAGCTCACTCTATTGTGTGCTAAATTACATTGGATCACCTTCCTAACTAATGGTACTTTTGACATTGCTGGTATTGTGCAATGTCACATCTACAAAAGGAATACACCCTAACCTGTGCCAATAGAATACATTTTCTAATAATCTTTCCTTGCTCCCATGAAAAACCAATACCAATAAACTGTCTACCACTTTTTCAGTGTATAAGCATCCCCTTACTACTCACTAATTCCAGAATCTAGGACAGTTCAGTTTCCACTCAACCACTTTACTCCTACACTACAGAGAAAAAGGGGAAGAACTACTTTCTTCCTCTCCTATATATCATAGCATCACACAAGCTCATAGTTAAAAGAATCTTAAGCATAGCTCTCACCCAATTCCTCTGCAACACTGCGTTTAAAATATTCTCTAAAGACGTTACTTTATTAATTCCTAATCATATCTGTGTAAATTTTCAATACTGAGTTCAAGGCAGTCTCTGCAGATCCAAGTTTGCAAACAATGAAAACAGTACAGTCAACTACAAATACAACAGTAATAAAGGCAAAAGATTCTTAATCTCATCGATTTAATTATACTTTGTCCTAAAAGAGACAAAAGCAAACACCAAACATTTAGGAGCAGAGAAAGAAAAGCAAATGACGGTTAGCTAACAGCCTGGCAAGTTCCACATTGTCTTTCCTTTCTATTTCCGACTTTACCAACCTGAGGGAATAGGATGAAAATCCTGGAAACAGCCTATTGTGGCAGGCAGTTCACCAACCTTTGCAGAAAGTCAAAGGGCATCCTGGTTCACTCTAGCTGGAACTCCTTCTTAATGCTCTACACAATCCTTTTCTGGCTCCTCTCACTTCTTCCCTCTTAATGTAGGTCTTCTCCATGACTTTCAATCCACTTTTTCCTCTTGGCAAACTCACCTATTCCTATAATTTCAACTATTATACCTGTAAGTAGATAATTTCAAATTTAAATTTCTAGCCCTAACCTCTCCTGAGCTATGTGAAGGTCCCACCACCTCCATTCCTCATAAGTAGATCTGATCATGTCATTCTTCTGCCAAAAAACTTTTTAATGGCTCTGTCTTATCTACCAAACAAAATTCAAATTCCTGAAGGCCTGGCACTCCAGCCTACCTTTTTTTTTTTTAACCACCACATTCTCTCCATCTTCACTAACCCACAGAGTGATTGTGACTCTGATGAAGGCAACTAGAGCAGCCCATCTCGAATGTGAAACCCTTTCTCCAAGTTCTGTTTCAAGTGCACTTTTACCTACGCCACCCTCCCTGATTCGTCCAGTTGGAAATGACAATAACAGAATCATCTGGGTGTCTACCTAGCTAATCTGCTAAATTAAACACCACATTCTTTCTTCAAGGCAACAAGTGCCTCTGATTCATCCCTTCCTCAGCTGGATCCACTAGAGTACTTGAGTATTATGGCTACTAAGTGATTGTTTGCTTAACTGGCTGAAGCATAACTTCAGAGAAGATCCTCTTTCCTGGACCTCACCAATTAAGCACCACAACTTTAGTAGTACTTTGCACATCAAGACACAAATATCATGGGGTATCCACTATATGCAAGGGACTGGGCTAGAACAAAATCAGATAGTTGGGCAACTATGTGTGCAAATTAAAAGGTGAACTACATTTCCAACTTCTCCATAAGACAACACATTCTTTAATCTTCAGAAAGATAGTGATAAATGAATTTCAACTACAAGCTTTTGCAGATTTCAGTGTAGTAACATACCTGCATTAGACGTGCTGCCTGCTGTAGCCAGGGATCCAGTGTGATTTTGGGTAAGGTTGTCTTGGGTTGACTGGGGGCCCGGAGTTGCCCATGATGAAGTACAATATCCCACAGGACTCTGTCGCCGCTGCGGCGGATGGTTGACGGCTGTGTTTTGACCAGGAAATGAATTATCTTTAAACTGTGTGATGACTGAAGTGCTCTGTGAAGTAAATACTTGCCCATATGGATCGCCAGCAGGCACCGAAGGATATGAAACACTAGGGTACACAGCACCCGAAGCAGTAGACATAGCATAATGGCCAGAAGTAAGGGGAAATCCCTGAGAAGCAATGGAAGAACTGGCAGAGGGAATGACCGGACTGTTGTAGTGATTACCAAAGGAGGAGTGCGGCTGGGGTCTACCTGTGTGTAAATGGGATGCTGAAGATGCAACACCACTTGGGAATGATCCAGGAGTGGACCCTACAGTATGAGGAGCAGGAGGACCCCTGCCATATACCTGCTGTGATCCCAGCTGCATGTTCATCGAGCTAGGACCTGTAGCAACAGTCACATTTTGTGTTGGTACTGTGTAGGGGCCAGAATAATAATCAGTCCCATACTGGCTTTCCAATGGCAGAGGGGTACTTTTCCCAGGTCCTTGGGAATAGAGTCCTGAGGGAACAACATAGCCTTGAGGAGGTAATCCATATCCAGGTGGAAACTGCATCTGATTCTGTGCTGGACCTAAGAAAAGGAAGAAAATCCTCACATAAATCACTGAAAAAGCAACTAAGGTACCAGAGCATGAAATACTGGTCCTTGAGAAAGTGGAAAAATCAGAATTTATATAAGGCAATATTTCTAAGCACCTACCTACCTCAAGAGTGACCTAACTTTTTCCCAACACGACAACCTACTTTGTAAGGTTACATTGTCACAGATGTCATATCAATCTAGTTCTACTCCTAGCTTAGCGACTATTTCTTCTATGACCTTTAGGATAAGTCAATCTTTCTATATAGCTCATTTGTTTTTCTCAGTAAAACTGAAGACTATGCCTTTTCCGTCTCTTAACAGGAAACTAGAAGATAAAAAATTTACACTGTTATGGGTAATTTAATAAAAGGTACAACATGATCATTGTTATGCTCTTTTACTATCAACAACACACCTTCAAAGGCCTGAGAGCTCCTTAATCCTTTACTAGGCAATACTGTAGAAGTCAATTTCAACCATATGTCTATGGAGTCATAATGAGGACTTCACTAATACAATTAAGACAGAAGCTGAGAGGTGTTGGAGAGGGAATATTATTCATGTTTCTGTTACAATTATGTTATGAATACACAATATATGTCCACATGACACCCTAATTTCTAAGTGCTTTAATTAAAATTATCTTGCAGAATGATCAGAAACATTAGATTTACATTCAAAGTCCTCATTTATGAGTTAAAAAAAAAGGAACCAAATAGTACTCCCTTAAAAAAAAAAAGTTAATGCTCTTGTCTACCCAATTAATACAAATTGATAGCATCTGGAATGCCCCATCAAAGAACTACCCTGTATCAATTTTGAATCATGAGGGTAACTTAGTAAGTATTAAACAAATCTATTTAAATGACTATCCATTTCCTAATGACTTATTTGGCTTATCCATGTCACAGATATGGAAGCAGGGAAATAAAACATTACCATATCCAAAAAGCTCAAATGTCAATCTTCTAAAAAATAACAAGAATGTTTTATCTACTAAAAGTTTACTTATTCTTATAAATACAACAGAAACATTTAAGTCATTTCTTCAAATCCACAAAAATACCTTACGTTTCCATTACTGTACACTTAAAAAATATTCATTATCTGTTATTTTACCATAAAGCTTTAAATTTATTTAAAAAGCTGATAAATCATTCAAAATAAATGACTCAAAGCACATTCAAGAATGAAATGCTGACATTTTACATTCTTCCATTGTTCTTTGAAAAGCAATCTAAAAAAAAATCAAATTTTTTTAAATGGAAAATTTAGTCAAAAAACACAGTGTCCTTTGCTTTCTCATTCTTAAAACTTATTTTAACCTTTAAAAATATTATTAAAATGATTGTGTTATGAGTATTACTGCACTTCTATGAATCCACGTAGAATAAAGTAAATAAAATCAGGAAAACATTATGCAAAAGAACTGTGGCAGAGAAAATGAAAAGAACAATACAAAAAAAGTGAATTCTGTCTAATGGCCAACATTGGCTCCAAAGAAGAAATGAGAAACTGAACTTCCCTCTTTTTGTCAGAGGTCTATGGCTGTAAAATACAGCATATGCTGTATGACAGCATTAATGTATTACATGTTATTTCTAAACTTTTAAAAAAATCTTTGTTACAGGATCTAAAACATCTCCAAAGGCCTCATGCTGGAAAATGCTATCCACAAAGAAGAAAGAACTATGGAGTTTGAATGCAGACTGAAGCATACTATTTGCTATTTTGTTTTCTTCTATTGTGTTTTGTTTCCTCTTTCTGGTGGTTCCTATTGTTTCTAATTCGTACTTACAACATCACTTATATGAAAATATGTTTAATAGGAATGTATATGTATTGCCTATATCAGATTGCTCTCTGTCTTGGGGAGGGGAGGGAGGGAGAGAAAAAATTTAAAACTCAAAAGCTTATGGAAGTGATTGTTGATAATTCAAAAGAAATTAATTTTAAAAAAAGAAAAAAAAATCTTTGTTACAAGAGAATGTTGGGTAGGGGAAGTGGAAGTGTATATTCAGAAATGTTACGTAAAAACAAAGTCATAAATAAAACATTTACTAAAGAATTACTTCTTTTTATCCAAAAGTTTACCCAAACTCATAAATGCATTTTATAAGTAAGCCAGAACTATCCTGTTCAGTTGGGATTTCCTTGACAAGGATTCTTAAGTGGTTTGTCATCTCCTTCTCCAGCTCCTTTTACAGATGAACAAACTAAGGCAAGCAGAGTTAAGTGACTTGCCCAGGGTCACAGCTAGTAAATGTGTGAGGCCAGGTCTGAACTCAGGAAGATGAGTCTTTCTGACTCCACGCATGGCTCTCTACCCACTGTGCTACCTACCTGTCCTCAGAACTCATTAAGAACTTTTAAATTACAGAAGTATTATGAGTTGATAGCTAGGTTATACTGTCAAGAGAGGATAAAATGATCTAGTGTAACATACTTGGGAAAAAAGCACTAATTACCAGGCAGGAAAATTAGTTTCTCATCTTAGTCTCTGCTAATCATTAGCAGAGTGAGCTTGAGAAAATGACTTCTACTTTAGGAACCTCAGTTTCCTCATCTGGAAAAGTCTGCTCTGCATCCCTCATATAATTCTTATAAGGATCATAAAATGAAACCATATAAAAGTACTTTATAAGTCAAAGATAAAAACACTATACACCTGTATTGTTGGAATTTAAACTCCTTGAGACCACAGACCTCATTTTTAAAAAAATTCTGTCCCCATCTCTCGGAGAGCCACGCCACTACATTACACAGTGTAGTGAACATAGCTGCCTCTCAATAAATCTGTCAAATTAATATGCACACAGTAAAAACAACAAACTGGACTATTTTCAATTCCTACAACTCCTTATATCTGAACTTCACTCCTATTCCCCATTTCCACTAGATGAAACTGTTCAAGGCCCTATTAAAATGCCAATTCCCCCAGGAAGCCTTTCCTGATAACTCTTGCAGATAAAGAACTAAAAATAAATGGATATTAAATTTGAAATAAGTTTAGATATCACTATGTCTAACTCGATTATTTTATAAAGGAGGAAACAGTTTCCTCTTTAGAATTCATACCATTTGGCTTGTATTCCTTCTCTTAGCATAGGGATAGGAACCACATCTGTGGTTTCATTGATATAGGGAAATCCTGGGTGAGGAAACTCCCTCTACCAATGCAGGTAGGCACCTTCTTTTCTATCTATAGTTTTAGTTTCCTAGAGTACTGAATGTGAAGTGACTTGCCCACAATCACCTTCTATGTGCCAAAGGCAGGACTTGAACCTGTCTTCCTGGTTCCAAAGCTAGTTCTTTATTCACTATGTCATGCAACCTCTTAGCACTTCTCCTATACATGGTTGGCCTAATCTGTAGTAAAGTGCATAGGAGAATAGATTGAGAGGTAAAAGGTACCTCAGAGGTCACCCAATCTAACTCCCTCATTTTTATAGATGAAACTAAGGCCTAGCAAGGTTAAGTTACTTGCTCAAGCCACATAGGCAGCTTTAACAGGAAAAATTTTAACTCTCGTCCTCTGAGATTCATGAATCAGTACTTTCACTTCTGAATCATGGTGTGCTGCAAGGTACAACTCTCAGAATATTTAAACTGTATTGTGCACTTAGGAGCCCTCTGAGTGCTTGTGAATGTGACAAGGATGGCTTCCAAGGTCCTTTGCAGCTCTCAAGCTTTGAATCTGAGGACCTATTATCTCTCTGAGCCTTCACATCCTGTGAAGTCATGAGCTCTCATAAATCTTCCAAAGAACTACCCTTCCTGCTGGTCTAAATAATCGTCATGAGGGGCAGCTAGGTGGCGCAGTATATAGAGCACTGGCCCAGGAGTCAGGAGGATCTGAGTTCAAATCCACTGTCAGACCAGACACTTGACACTAGATGAGTGACCCTAGGCAAGTCAACCCCAATTGCCTCAAAAAACAAAATAATAATAAAAAAACCCCCCAATCATTGTGCATAGTATGTGTGTAAATGCTTTCTGAATTAATGAAACAATGATTAAGAATCCTAGGATAAATTAGGTACTGCACAATCCAAAGGTGAAGAAAATGAACTACTATCTATTACCCCATCCAGCCTTTCACTGGATGTATAACAATTCTGAAATATACATAGTAAAGATTTTAATACCTATACTGAGGGAAGGTTGGTGAGAGTTGAGGAAAGGAATGGAATGGTTTGGTAAGCACATCTGGGGGAGGGTCAATTTTAAACATTAATGGAAGGCTGCTATATTTTCCAGGCTTCTGATTCTTTGATAGCTCTCCTGTATTCATTTCAAATGTTACATATTGACAAGGAAAAACTCTTATGATCCTCAAAGTGGGAAGATCCAATTGAGAACTTCAAAGACGAACATGTATAGCTTGAATTTTGATATTATGAGCTACCTAAAACAAACTGAATATCGATTCCTTTTTTTAAACTAACATTAAATTAAATTTTCTTTTTTCAATTAACCACAAAAATCTGCCTTCTATTTCCTACCCCCCCAATGAAAAAGAATAACAAAGCCCTGACAACAAATTATGTATAATTAAGGGGGGGAAGCCTGAGAGGGTCACGTCCAAATAATTTATGCCTCAATCTGCACTATGTCCAGCATGTCTAGATCAGCAGTTGAATGGCAAGTTTCATCAAGAATCTGTTGGAATTGTGGTTGGTCATCGTACTGATCAGTTTTTCTGTCTTTCAAAGTTGTTTGTTTCTACAACATTGTTGTTGATGCACAAATAGGTCTCCCAGTTCTGCTTCCTTTTCTCTGAGTCAGTTCACATGGCTTTCCAGTTTCTCTGAAAATTGAACTTTTCATCATTTTTTATGGAATGAGAGTAGTTAACACATTCATACATCACGACTTATTCAATTATTCCAACTGAGGGGCACCTGGGCATCCATTCTTCAGAGGCAAAAGAATAAGAATCATACAACAATAAAAGACAAGCCTAGCTCAAGTCTTTACAAACATCA